TAAAATAACCACCTGGGAATTATTTAAGCTTTAAATCTAAACGTAGACCTGTAGTTATATTTCTAGAGTAAAGATAGCTATATAGATTAGGAACTCCTGCCTATCTCACCAAACACCCTAACGCTAACCTAACCAGCAAATCTAATCCTTCCCCCTATAATAATGAATGGTATTGCGGTGTTTAATCATCAATATTTATATATAAGCAGGGTTTACTAATCTTCATGACCTCTGATATTCATGAAAATCCTTGTACAAATTTGCATTAATTCATCATGTTAAAATATGGAAGTATACAATATGTTATATAATAATGTCCTAAAGATAAATGTGTAGTATTTATCAGGTGTCGCTAAGAATCCCCAGGCTTTCATTTGGTTAAGCCAGATCACCGTGGTTGTTATTGTTCACTTAGTATCTGTATTTTTATGGTTAAGTAAACTGTTTCAATATCAATAGACTGTGCAGGTGTACATTGTACACATACGAGAGAGAGAGAGTGAGTGAGAGGGGGTAAGACATGCCAGCTAGAGACGTACGTGAGGGTGAATAAACGCTGCTTATTGTGCCAGCCAACATACTGGGTTGTCCATTTATTCCGTTGATATTAAGTAATTATGTCTACGTTATTTTCACCATGTAGAAGTTCCTGTGTCAATTATTGTTAAATCTGCATTTGTAATGAAATGGTGAGTACACTTTAATGGGCATAACTATATGAGAGGTTTGTTGGGCTACCCATGGTCGATTTAACTTACTGGTCACTATTGTTTATTCCTGTACTGTCTACCTACATTGTCTTGAATACTTACACTCTCACCATAACTTCTCGAATGCTATAGGCACTTTACAATCTGAAAAATGAACGAAGAATCTGAAACCATTCCGAGATAACAAGACCCATTCTGCTCATTCTCACATCCATCGTGCCCAGGTGTTCGAGAAGTTTTGGGTGAGTGTACACTGTATACATGTACTCTTTGTGTATACATTGCACACCTGCACTGTCTCTGCATTGTGTATCTGCACTGTCGAGGTGTATACTGAATCGATAAATTTACTGAATAGATACTATTTGTGTATATAAATCTATACCTTATGATTTTGGTAGCACTGGAAGGATGGGGAGTGAGGGTGACGTGTGATAGGAAGGATGGGAGGGGGTGAGAAGAAGTACTTGTACGTCTGGCAGCGGGTGTGGGCGGGTAGGTGGGACCGTTAAATTTAACACAACACCCACGTAAGATAGTGCCGGTACCCTATTCAGGTTCGTAATGGTGTTGTATCAGGGTTGCTCCTTTAAAACGAAAGTTCAGCCGGGATTTCCACATTTGACGCCTAATACAAAAATGTTGGTCTTGTGATTAGGATTCAGGAAACCAATGTTGACAAAGTGTCAATTTGGTGCGGTCTGAGAAATATTAAGGCAAAAATTATTATATAGTACGATTTTTTCTCAAGTTCGTTCACTGAAACATAACTTTAACAAAACATGCAAAATATATGTAGTTTTAAACTTAATTCAATGTATTTAGGTTTTTATGTATGTTTTATGGTAGTTAACTCAATGAATGGACTTTAAAAAAATCATATTTGTGGAAAAAAAAATTGACAAAATTTCTTAGCCCAGACCAAAATAGCACTGTTTCCTGATTCTTGGCACCAGGACTAACATGTTGATATACAGTGTCCACATTGAAATGAAAATAACTTTAAAGCCTTATAGATTTTTATTGAATAATGAAAACAGGAATATTCACACAGCTCATAGTATGCTTGACTCTGATTAAGTGTATTTGGTAGGCTACATATCATTCGGGTGCATTTGGGTATGTTACAGTTCAAACTCGAGTGTTACATATCCACAAAGTTAATTCATAAATAACTCTACGAACACAGATTTAGCCATAAAGAAGATTTTTTATAGTTTAACAAAGTTATTGACAAAGCTTGGAGTATTATGGCATATTGAGTAATTCAGTCAGGAAGAGGCAAAAGTCCATCATGGGATGAGAGTTAGAGGTTATCAGAACTAAAGTACTTTGGCCTAGAGTAGATGTAACCAGGTGTGTATTGACCTATTAAACTCGGTCACACACACACACACACACACACACACACACACACACACACAGAATCTATCAGTCAATTGATCCACAGCAATTTGGCAATATGAGGACCTCCTCTACATCACACTGCTTAGTGAGCTTTCTGGATTTTCTGCACAAAATCCTGCAGAAACGTAAGACATCACTGGCCGTTGCCCTTGTTGACTTCAGGAAGGCCTTTGACCTTGTTGATCACTGCACTGTTATCAACAAGGCCATTGCACTAGGGCTGCCCACCAACCTGGTCTCATGGCTCACTGATTTCTTGAGTGGACGTCGTCAGGCAGTGAGGTATCAGGGCTCGGTCTCCACATTCCAACACCTCACCTGCGGTGTTCCCCAGGGGACCAAGATGGGACCACAGTGCTTCCTCATCCTGATCAACGACGCTCTATCGAACACTCCTCACAGGTGGAAGTACGTGGATGACTGCACTGTGGGGGTTTCAGTGGACAACACCGCACCAGACTACTCATCGCTAGAAGGCACCCTGGACAGGCTACAGACATGGACTACGGAGAACAAGGTCACCATCAACCACACCAAAACCGTAGTCATGCACATCAATACCGCCACCACTCCAGTGCAAGCCCCAGCAGTCACAGTGGGTGCCCATCCTCTCCAGCTGGTGCAGTCTGCCAAACTCCTGGGTGTAACTATAAACAACAAACTGGACTGGAAGGCCCGTGTAAATAACACAGTCAAGGCAGCCTTGTACCGTCTCTACATGCTACGACGACTTAGGTCACTTGGGACACCCACGCCAGAGCTGAGGACTATCTACAACGCCTTTATTCTCCCCAAACTAACGTATGCGTCACCAGCCTGGTCGTCTTCTCTCAACTCCAACCAACAACGTCGGCTAGAGAAGGTACAGAAAAGGGCCTGCAGAATCATGCTCGGCGCAGAATACTCCAGCTACATCAACGCTCTCTCCACCCTGGAAATGCCATCCCTCAGTGACCTCCACCACCAAGCACTAGCAAGGTTTGGCAGCCAACTAATGCACCACCCTCGTCGTCATCCCCACCTCCTGCCACCGGCAGCCCCCCACCCACCTCGCACAGTCCGCCACTACAAAAAAATTCAGCCCATAAGAGCCCTCACCGATAGATATAAGAATAGCACCATCCCATCTATTGTTAAAATAATAAACAACTCCTGATTTATGTACTGTACAGCCCTGTAAATGTATTCAACGCATATTATATCATTATATCTAAATCAAATGTAAGTCTGTATATTTTCAGCCACCGGCTGCAACTCTATTAATAAACCGTTTATTATTATTATTATTATTATTATTATTATTATTATTATTATTATTATTATTATTATTATTATTATTATTATTATTATTGTTATTATTATTATTATTATTATTATTATTATTATTATTATTATTATTATTATTATAGTAGTAGTATATATTTACATTAAACCCTGTACGACCGTGAAACTTTGCTGAGTCGTAAACCCCAAGAGATTGTGTGACTCATATACTGTAGATGTAGCGTCTCTCTCTATCTCTGCATGTCTCTCCGTCTTGTTACATACTCCTGCGCATTTACTTATACACGCATGGAGAAAGAGAGAGAGACGGAGAGAGCACATACTAGGCTTCTCATGACGAAGGCTGTTTCCGCGCAACAATATAAATACAGTAATAGAATGGTGCAATGGAGTGCTGTTGTGATGGTGAAAATGCCACCAGTGCACACACACACACACACACACACACACACACACACACACACACACACACACACACACACACACACTGATTATTATACCACCACCAGAAACGATAACTTATCATAACAAGGACGATATTAACGTATGTACGAGTGTTTGGTGTGCAGTTACTTGATCTGATAGTGTCAAAATGTCAATGCCAGGCAGTGTGCGATGGTTAGTGGTAGTGAGTGGTAGTGGTAGTGTGTGTAGTGGTTAGTGGTGGTAGTAGTGTGTGATAGAAACAGTGAGATATTATATACAGAACCACTAGTTGAATACAGATATTACAGATTTTTTTGTCAGGTTTGGTTACGTTACGTTTGGTTAGGTTAGAATGTTAGATCAGGGTGTAACTATGTCATAACTCCTAAACAGAGTACTCTAATATATTGTTATTAATTTGAACACAGCCTTGAAAAACACGACCGACATTAAAACACATTGAAAATACAATATACGAGAATAATGAAAAGGTAAAGAGAAATAAAGAAAAACCAAGAAAAGTAATTAAAAAAACACAATAATAAACAAAGGAAAATGATATAGGAAATTTACTTAAAGGAGAAAATAAAAGAAGTGGAAGACTAACTGAACAAATAATAAGAGTGACACGATTTCTTCACTGTGTTACCCTTAATAAACTCTCTACACTATGATGGCCTTTCAGCATGAGGGTAAGTGTGTGTGTGTGTGGTCAGCTTTTATCTTTGTCAATATTCCCGTAGCTTATGTTGAGCTAAACTATTATTGTAGCTACTGTCAGTAATTTAATCCTTGTGATAGTAGTAGTAGTAGTAGTAGTAATGATAATAGATGTATGTCAGAAGGACTTTCACTCTTGTTAAAAATAATATGGTCCTTACCAATAGCTATAAACATAAAAAAAAAAGGTCCAGTCAATATTATCATAGACACAGCAATAGGTGAAACACGATTGTCAAACACTCACTATACTACCACCATTACCAATCTACCATCACCATTATTCTATCACCACAACCACCATCATCACTATTACCATCTCACCACCACCACAACTGCCACTACTATCACCATCATTCCAACACCATCAACACAACCCACCACACGCGTCCCATCACCACAAACATTAACAAGAAACTAACCTGGATTCTTCTCTTCTTCTCTTATTTGGAGGTACAGGAGAGATGATGTCGGGGGGAGGCGGTGTACGGGTCTACAGGATAAGATGGGTGATCCTCTGTCTCTTCGTGTTGTACTCCATGTCCAATGCCTTCCAGTGGATCCAGTACTCTATCATCAACGACATCATCACCTATTACTACGGTGTCAGCCCTACCATGGTCGACTGGATGTCTATGGTCTATATGGTTACCTATATACCTCTCATCTTCCCGGCATCTTGGTACCTGCAGAAGAAGGTGAGTTGGGTTAGGTTAGGTTATTGAGGTTGGGTTAGGTTAGGTTATTGAGGTTGGGTTAGGTTAGGCTATTGAGGTTGGGTTAGGTTAGGTTATTGAGGTTGGGTTAGGTTAGGCTATTGAGGTTGGGTTAGGTTAGGCTATTGAGGTTGGGTTAGGTTAGGCTATTGAGGTTGGGTTAGGTTAGGTTATTGAGGTTGGGGTTGATTGATTGAGGAAGGGGGTTAAAAAACGTTGTAGGAGGAATAAGAGTGGTAAAAAACGTAGGAGATATAGAGACAAATTTAGAGGAGGTTAAAGTATGAGAAGAGACTCGTGTGTGTGTGTGTGTGTGGAGGCCGGCTGGAGCCTGTAAACGTACCATAGGAAAGAGCAATCAATAGTTATGTCCAGCATGACGATCATCTGCCTCCAGTGTCGCTCTCTCTCTCTCTCTCTCGCCAGCTCTTTAGTTCCTTCTATAAATGAAACTCCAGCGCGAGAAATCGTAATCTTTCAAGCCATGCAGACGGACGTACGCCCATCTCTCTGCCTTCAGTGGCGTTTCAGAGTGTTCGGGATATTAGAGTGCAGGAAGAGAGAGAGAAAGATTTAAGCTACCATTTGATTTGGTCGTCTACTCCTCCTCCACCTCCTTTTCCTCCCTCGTCTGACTACACCAACACGCTGCCTGTGTGCGTCTGTCTGTTGCGTGTTTGTTTTCCTATTATTGTTTGATATTGCTCCGCTCTCTCTCTCAACCTCTACTCTCCTAGCGTACAGGTCGACCTATCACCACGGCATCTTTAGGCGGTGGCAAGCTCTCCGTCCCTCTCTCTCCGTCCCTTTCCCTCTCTCTCTTTTCCTCATTGCTTTCTACCCCCCACTTTCTCCCTTTCAATGACTGTACTCTCCCCCTCTCATTGTTTTCCTTTCTCTCTTTTCTCCCCATCCCCTCACCCCCTTTTCCCTCCTTCCTCTCCCCCTTCCCTCTCCTCCCCTCCTCCCCTAGGTGCCACAGAGCCTTAAGATCAACAGTAAATAGGTCGCCTTAAGCCTCTGGGTATTTTTTCCCCTCCCCTCCTCCCCTCTCGCCCCTCTCTATCCTCCTTTCTCCTCACACCTCTCCCCTCACACCACTATCCCCTTACCCCTCCCTCTCACCTACTCTCCTCCTCCTCTTCCCTCACAACACATGGTGACGTCATTAGGGAGGCCGGAGGTCTTTGGAGGACTTTCATAATTGTGATTCTGAGTGTTGATGTGTGAGAGAGAGAGAGAGAGAGAGAGAGAGAGAGAGAGAGAGAGAGAGAGAGAGAGAGAGAGAGAGAGAGAGAGATGAACAAGTTTTCGTCTCTTGTGATACAATTGAAAGAAGCCAACATACCTACAGTACCGCCTTTGTCTGTCAGATAAGTATGTGTACCTAGTGTAAAGTGTACCTAGTGTAAAGTGTACCTAGTGTAAAGTGTACCTAGTGTAAAGTGTACCTAGTGTTAAGTGTACCTAGTGTAAAGTGTACCTAGTGTTCACTCTCTTTCTCTCCACCATCATCCTACCTCCCCGGCACCAAGTAGTTGCCCAGCTGTTCGGTCACACTGGGGAGCCACATGTCCTTTAGTCCACCGTTCGATATATAGATACTTCGATAGTGAGAGAGAGAGAGAGAGAGAGAGAGAGAGAGAGAGACCACTGGCGACTAAGTTTATGGGAACACGAAAACATCCCAGCGTATGTCGAACGCTTTTATTTTTGGCTGTTGTATTCGAGAGGAGGAGGAGGAGAAGGGGGGAAGGAAGTGCTGGGGTGAGTTAGCAAGCCGTACAGTGAGCAGGGAAGAGGATATCCACACTTAACACTACAACACAGACGTATTACATTCCCTCTCCTTCCCCTTCCCCCCTACATCCCCCCCTCACCACCCCCTTAGTGCCTCGAGGGGGGGAAGGGAAGGGGGGCTGAGGAAAATGGGGAGGTTGATGGGGTGGATGGGTGGAGAGGGAAGGTGGTGGGTGAGAGTAGGTGGAGAGGGAAGGTAGCCTGGTGGGGTGGAGTGGATAGGGGAGGGGGGGGGGGAGGAGGAAGGAGGGTGGATTGATGAGGGAGGAGGGGGGGGTGGAGTGGGTGGGTTGGTTTACGTAAGAGGTACTGTTTCTTTCCATTGTTATAATATAGACAGTTAAACCTTAAGAAAAAGGATCACCTGAAGTTTAGACACCCCCAACTTATTTCACGTGATGATGTAACTTAAACCCAAGGGCAGGTACAGGTACAAGGGCAGGTACAGGTACAAGGGCAGGTACAGGTACAGATGAACAAATAATGAATACAGTGTTACATTACAGCTACATATATTTTATTAATTAAAAAACAGTGATTGAGGACATCTTGGAAGGCCAGGATTACACACACACACACACACACACACACACACACACACACACACACACAAGGGGTTCCGTCCTGACTGTAGATAACGATGATCAAATCAGAGCCAATCAAAGGGCAGTGTTGTGTTACCAGGCGTCCCTATGGTGTTGTCTTGTATGGTGTGAGTGTAGGTGGAGGTAGTGTATGGTGGTGGTAGTGGGTGGTGTATGGTGGAGGTAGTGGTGGTGGTGGAGGTGGAGGTAGTGGTGGTGTGGGAGGTGGTGGTGGTGCAGACGGATCAATAATGACTTCGGGGACTCCTTCTTAAGCAGACCCCCTTCCCTTACCCCTTTCCCTTACTCCCTCATCCCCTTACTCCCTCATCCCTCCTTCCTTCCCCCCCAGTCTCCCTCATGCAGCCCGGCGTTACTTTCTTTCTCTAGGGTAAACAAAGACTTGCTTAATTACGTTATATAATACGACTGACCCGGGGCTTTTTATTTCCAGGATGAACAAAGACAGGCTTCACACACTCTACGGATATAACTTGACCTTTTTCACTCTTTACTTTTCGTGACAGCTGTAAAGTATTTAACTCTTGAACTATGAGGCTTTATTGACTCTACAGCCTTGACCTATGTCTGCTTTGACCTTTGTAACTAGTAAATATCCGGTATTTTAATGTGTGTGTGTGTGTTACCCTGGGCCGTCAGCGTTTAGAAATTCAAGAAGGTGAGGGGGGGTGGAGGGGGAGGGGCACGGAGAGAGGTGGAAGGAGGAATATTGGGGGGAGAGGAGGAAAGATATATTCATGGTAAGGTCTGTTATCTGGTCAATACTGTTATGTAATAAAACTCACGCACTCGCCACAACACTTAACCAACACCACATCCTTATCACACCGTCACATCACGTCATCACCACACCGTCACATCACCAACACCACATCCTTATCACCACACCGTCACATCACCAACACCACATCCTTATCACCACACCGTCACATCACCAACACCACATCCTTATCACCACACCGTCACATCACCAACACCACATCCTTATCACCACACCGTCACATCACCAACACCACATCCTTATCACCACACCGTCACATCACCAACACCACCATACAAACAAAATATCCCCAACACAAGGTAAAAGACAACGATAGAGGTAATCAATAAAACAAACAGATAGCAACCATCATATAGTAATAGGGTTACTTTATTTTCATCATCCCAAAATAGTCAAAACTAAAATAAAGTAGACCTCATTATAGGAGAGAGAGAGAGAGCTGTGTTCAAACAATGCTGTGAAGTATGACGGGTAATTTGTGTTAATTATGCTTACTTGCACCCACGACTTACCCCCACAATGTTGGGGTAGGCCTATATATAGACGTGTGTATGTGTGTTTATCTAAGGTTCCTTGTAAATATGTAATTACTTTAAACTGCTTTATATTCTCTATTTACTGGGAATAAATCACAGTAATAATAATAATAATAATAATAATAATAATAATAATAATAATAATAATAATAATAATAATAATAATAATAATAATAATGTCATAATAATAATAATAATAATACTATGGTAATAATAATAATAATAATGTGATGATAATAGTAATAATAATAACAATAATAATAATAATGTCATAATAATAATACTAATACTATGGTAATAATAATAATAATAATGTGATGATAATAGTAATAATAATAACAATAATAATATAACACTAACCCTCCCTTTACTCTCCCACAGGGGTTAAGGAGAGCAGTACTGATTGGTGCCTGTGGTACTATGATCGGGTCATGGGTCAAGGTGGGGTCAGTCTCCCCCGACAGGTTTTATCTGACCTTCGCAGGGCAGTGCATTTCCGCCATCTCCCAAATCTTCATCCTTGGTATCCCCCCTAGGTTGGCTGCTGTCTGGTTTGGTCCTACCCAGGTCTCAACTGCTTGTGCTATTGGTGTCTTTGGGAATCAGGTCTGTATCAGGTTTTTTATAAGGTCAGGGGTTGAATTTTTATGTTGTAATTCAAAGTCAGATTAATGTTTAAGGGTCATTTAAAGATCATTTCTGAACCTGTTTATACTCGCTGTGCTTATGTTGACAATGCAGTGACCTTCATATGTTTAAGGTGATATCACGTGTTTGTGCTGACCCTGTATGTTGTGCTATGATGTCATGTGTTGATATCCCATATGTTTGGCTCTGATGTCATGTGTTGTGCTATGACGTCATGTGTTTACGCCTGTCACCCTCAGTTGGGCGTGGCGCTGGGGTTCCTCTTGCCGCCTGCTATCGTACAGACCTCGGAGGATAAGGATGTGGTGGGTCAGGGCCTGGCCTTCATGTTCAACGGTGTGGCTGCCCTCACCACCACACTCTTTATCACCATAATCTTTGGTGAGTCATGCTTTATCTGACTTGACCTGACTTTATCTATACTTAACCTAACCTAACTTGAATTGACCTGGCCTTATCTTGACACAACCTCCCTTTAATTTGACCTGACCTTATCTAGACTAAACCTCACCAAACCTAACCTGACCTTATGTGTACTTAACCTGACCTAACTTGACCTGACCTGATCTTATCTAGACTTAACCTTACCTAACTTGGCTTGACCTAATCTGGACTTAACCTTACCTAACTTGACTTGACCTTATCTAGACTTAACCTGACCTAACCTAACTTGACTTGACCTTATCTAGACTTAACCTGACCTAACTCGTTTCTGACCAAACATAACCTTTTCTTGACTTAACCTAACTTGAATTTAACTGAACCTTACCAAAGTTAATATAATCTAACCTAACCTAACTTGACCATACATAAATATATTGCTGTATTTTTCTTAATTTCAAAGTGATGAAATTTCAGAATATTTGAGGTTCTAGGGAGCTCTACCATTGTGGGGTCATATGTACCAGTCCGCAGAATTACTAGTCTTGGTAGATTGACTTGGCCTCTGCAGCGCTCGAGTAAGCCATATGAGAAATCACGTATTGACTTGAAAATAACCACGAGACACTTAAAATCTACTGTAATTGTTATCTTAAGTATTTGGTATTTGACTCGGAAATATGAAAAATTTTGGGTTGTATGAAAAATTGGGACATTATGGTCATTCTGATATAAGTTTTGCACTTCACCCTGCCATTCCTCCTCACCCTGCCATTCCTCCTCACCCTGCCATTCCTCCTCACCCTGCCATTCCTCCTCACCCTGCCATTCCTCCTCACCCTGCCATTCCTCCTCACCCTACCATTCCTCCTCACCCTGCCATTCCTCCTCACCCTACCATTCCTCCTCACCCTACCATTCCTCCTCACCCTGCCATTCCTCCTCACCTGCCATTCCTCTCACCTACCATTCCTCCTCTCCACCCTACCATTCCTCACCCCTACCATTCCTCTTCGCCCTACCATTCCTCCTCACCCCTACCATTCCTCCTCACCCTGCCATTCCTCCTCACCCCTACCATTCCTCCCTCACCCATTCCTCCTCACTCCTGCCATTCCTCCTCCACCCCTACCATTCCTCCTCACCCCTACCAGCCTCCCTCACCCTGCCATTCCTCCTCACTCTGCCATTCCTCCTCACCCTACCATTCCTCTTCACCCTACCATTCCTCCTCACCCCACCATTCTTCTTCACCCCTGCCATTCCTCCTCAATACCATTCTCCTCACCCTACCATCACCCCATTCCTCCTCACCCTACATTCCTTCCTCACCTCCACCCTACCATTCCTCCTCACCCCTCCATTCCCTCCTCACCTCCACACCGCCATTCCTCCTCACTCCACCATTCCTCCTCACCCCTACCATTCCTCACCCCACCATTCCTCTTCACCCTACCATTCCTCCTCACCCTCACCATTCTCCATTCCTCCCATCACCCTACCATTCCTCCTCATTCCTCCTCTCCCTACCATTCCTCCCCATCACCCCACCATTCCTCCTCCTCACCCTCACATTCCTCCTCACCCCTGCCATTCCTCCTCACCCCACCCATTCCTCCCACCCCTACCATTCCTCCTCCACCCTGCCATTCCTCCCACCACATTCCTCTTCACCCCACCTCCCCACCTACCTTCACTTCACCATTCCTCCCCACCACATTCCTACCACCATTCCTCCATTCCTCCTCACCCCACCATTCCTCCTCACCCAATTCCTCCTCCTACCATTCCTCCTCACCCCACCATTCCTCCTCCCCACTATCTCCTCCTCACCCTACCATTCCTCCCTCACCATTCCTCCTCACCTGCCATTCCTCCTCACCCACCATTCCTCTTCACCCCACCATTCCTCCATTCCTCTTCCCTCACCCTCCCATTCCTCCTCACCCTACCATTCCTCCTCACCCTACCATTCCTCCTCACTCTGCCATTCCTCCTCACCCTACCATTCCTCCTCACCCTACCATTCCTCCTCACCCTGCCATTCCTCCTCACCCTACCATTCCTCCTCACCCTACCATTCCTCCTCACTCTGCCATTCCTCCTCACCCTGCCATTCCCCAATTCAGATCACAGCTGTGCACCAACTTGATCAGTGATGCGCCGTAAAAATGACCCAAAGTAATTATAATTTATATTCATTAAAACAGTAAAGTGAAGCGGTAAGGGTTAGGAGACCACTCTTCATTGGATAATTGAGTTGGGTAATGTGGGTAGTGGGAACAAAGGTGCCTCGGTGTTTGATGTTCCTTTGTGGAGTCTTTTTTTTTATATAATTTTTTTTTTTATATTTTGGAAGCTGCAGTCAAGCGTGAAAAGCTTATGAAGGCTGTTAATGTCTTTGTTTGATTAGCATTGTATGAGTCAATTTGCTATTTACCATTATTTATTATTATTAAAGTCAGTCAGTCAATCAGTCAGTCAATCAATCAATCAATCAATCAATCAATCAGTCTATCTCTGTGTTCTTGTTTACTCATTTATTAAAGATAATCAATATTCACTCACCATCAACAAAGGGCCGCAACCAGGATGTAACATGGTATCTGGGCCTCTTCTATTAATATATCAACGGTGCCGCCATCAGTAACGTCAGCATGAGAGGGTCCACACACACACACACACACACACAGTGTTATTATAGAGGTGTTAGGTCACAACACAACCCACAGTATAGAGAACACACAATACTACACAGTAAACACAATGCAACACACAATACAATATACACAACACAATACAACACAATATACACAAAACAGAAGACAACCCAATGCGCAACATCACACATCACAACACAACAGGAACACTTCGTTAAGCCACTAACAACCTATACACCACTGCCTTCCCTGTGTGTCGGTTCCTGTCTCGTCCTCACCTCTCTGTTGATGCCGCCCCTGTCTGTCTGTGTTTGTATTATGTACTGTCTATCTGTCACCTGTCTGCATGTTTCTTGTCTGTCTCCATCTGTCTCCTGTCTGTCTGTCTCCTGTCTATCTGTATCTGTCTCCTGTCTATCAGTATCTGTGTCCTGTCTATCAGTATGTCTCCTGTTTGTCAGTATGTCTCCTGTCTATCAGTATCTGTCTCCTGTCTGTCAATATCTGTCTCCTGTCTGTCTGTACCTGTGTGCTGTCTGTCTGTCACTATTTATCAACCTTGAGGATTAAGCTAAACTTATGGATCGATTGTTTCCGTGTTCATGTTTTTTTTTTTTTTACCATCAGTCTGTCTATGTCACGTCCACATTTTTGTTTACTCGATTTGGATGATTTTGTCAACATTACAGAGAGGTCAAGGTCAGAGGTAATCAATGCAAACTGTTAAAGATCATTATATACGTTGTTAAGTGTGGGATAATATACAGGTACTTCTCGACTTACAACATACTCGACTTACGACAACCCGGACACATGACCGTCGTGGTCGTAGAAATTTTTTTTTCAAATTACGTACAGTATTTTCTAGTACCGACGTTAGTGATTGCGCTGTGTATTGACAAAGTTTTCGTTTGTAATTCCCTTTAAAATGGCTCGCAAGCGTAAAAGTGAGAGTTCTCGTGGTGCTGAGAAGAAAAAGAGACACCCATATTAGAATTTTTATGTATTATTTTCACCTTTTCGACTTACGACCAATTCGACTTACGACCTGGTCGTTGGGACGGAACCCCGTTGTAAGTCGAGGAGAGACTGCATTTGGGTCTTCATTGAACTATGTATGATGGTGTATATACTGTACACGGGTCACCTGAAAATTCAACCTCCAGATTATTTCACCTGAATATTCTTCCCCCGGCTTATTTCATGTGAAGCTTCAAACCAAAACCAGAGTAATTTAACCTAAAGATTTATTGGGGGGTTGAATCTTCAGGTGAAATAAACTGGGGATTGAATCTTTAGGTGAATAAGCTGGGGTTGAATAATCAGGTGAAATAAGCTGGAATTGAATCCTCGGGTGAAATAAACCGTTTTCATTCCCTGATGCCTCGGTGTAGTATGGTGGTGGTGGGGTGAGAGAAGGTAGCTGCCCTGACTCACGGACTTAATATGATGGATGTAGGGATGGTTACCGTAATGCCAATACAGGTTGTACCTCTCTAGTCCGGCAACCTCGGGACCTGACCGGTGCCGGACCATGGAAATTCACCCTTTTCCTGGATAGATAGTGACTTGTGCTTATGCCTGGAAGCACTAGCACCACTTTCTCTGCATCATGGTCTCTTTGAAGACATATTGAAGGGTTAAATGTCTTATAGTAGCTTCTCAAATTTCGCGAGTTTTTAATTATTAACGTATTTTATTGGAACACACAAAAAAATAAATAACAAAAAAATTTGACGGCGGAAACTTGAATTTCGACGGGTTTGAACGGCCCGCCAACGTGCAGACGACGTGCATAATCGTGCAACAGCGTCATTTCTCTTATGTACAAAAGATTCATTATTGTTTATTACTGAATGTCTTTTCTATTGATTAATGTTTATGTGTGCAAAATGAGCAATACAATTCATTAATAATACGTAGAATATTAAAATACACGAGGAAATGACACAGCATTGTTTTCGTTGATTACAAAGCCAGTGACTGACTGGTTCTACATATAAAACTGAAGAAAATAAGACCTTGGTTGTAGCTGTAGTAAAATTAATATGGTTGTTTTAAGTAATGTTATTTAATGTTAATAAATGGAACAATAGAAGTAGCTGACGATAATGGTACAGAAAAAAAGAGAGATCGCGTATGTAAGTGCGCATGCTCACACGTGAAAACATATCGTCATTACTTTACATAAGAATATGAAAGCAACACTTATTTACTGTTCTTATATATTTTAATTAATGTTTCTGAATTTGTTTTTATTGAATTAATGTGTGTGTGTGCAAAATTAACAATACAATTTATTAATAATGAGGAGACGAGACGGCTGCCGGGATTGTTTATGTTAAAGCTTACAAAACCAGTGACTGATTGGTTCTACATATAAAACTGAAGAAAATGAGACCCTGATTTTAGCTGTAGTAAAATTAATGTAAAAAAATTAATATGGTTGTTTGAAGTACCTGTAATGTTATTTAATGTTAACAAATGGAACAATATAAGTAGCTAACCATTAATGGTAAAAAAGAGTGAGACTGCTCGTATGTAAGTGCGCACATGTGAAAACATATCGTCATTACTCTACATAAGAATATGAAAGCAACACTTATTAACTGCTCATATATATTGAAGGGTTAAATGTTGTACTCTGTATAGACAAGCAGAGGGAGAGAGAGAGTGCAGCCGAACTGCCGGATGTAAACAAACCTTAAATTCCCGCGGCTTTGTTTTTGTTTTTTGTTTTTAAGGGGATTAGCCCACCCGGGCATAGGTCACTGACCCACATTGGGCCCTGAGGGGCAAAAATTTAATACTCCTGTAATAATAATTCAGATAAGTAAAAAAAAAGAAAAAGAAAAAAGCTGCCTATCTACCTATTGGACAAACTAAAATCGTTCCGGACCACAGAATGCCAGACTAGAGAGGTACAACCTGTAATTAGATTGGGGAAGGGGAGGGGCAGTGGTGGTGGCAACATCACATGCACAGACACACCTGTACAGTTTATGCACGTGTTTATGAGTTTGTACCATAGATTTATATATACATGTTTGGGTATTTTCACATGGTACGTATCTCATGTACCGAATATTGTCAGCACCATTATGAACTTGTGTTACTCTCATGTACTGCATCTGTGTAAGGATAAAACAAATTATTCATCACTATTTACTTGTCTTAATGTAATTTTTCTTTGCCTTTATACTTGTGCTGTAACCTTAAGGCATTACAGTATAACTCAGTATTTTATTTCATTACAGTACAGTACAGTATTTGCTTATTGTTTGTCTCCTTGTACAGTGTTCAAGGAGAAGCCTCCCACACCACCCAGCACAGCAGCTCTCGTGCAGGAAGAGACTGGCTCCTACATGCAAGGTGTTGTCAGGTATGTACAGTAATGTCGTGTCTATGGGATAAAAAAGTCAATTTGGTAAGTCACCATTGAAGTTTTAACAGAGCCCCTTCACTGTTTACAAAGATTCTTCAAACACTACGAAGCTCATGAAGATTAAGAACCCCAACTTACTTCACTTGATGATTAAATACCTTAATGCTAACCTAACTAAACTTAATCTAATCTGTCTTACTGTAACCCCTCAATTTAGTATTAGGGTTCTTAATCACTAGGTAAAATACACTGGGGTTTCTAGTCTTCATGGGAACCCTCACTACCAATGTGTCAAACAGCCACATTACCATTAAGAACATTTGCTCAAGAGGCTTAGCACTTCTTGTTACTTTTGGTGAAAATATTTGAAAAAAGAGTAAAGGGGCTCCATCACTGAGTATCATTTCTTTCCTGTTCTTAAAGTTTAGAACGAAGAAATAACTGACACACAACACACATCAGTCTCAGTATGAACAATGTGTGTACTGTGTACCTCTATTATTTTTTTACTTTTATCCTCTTCACCACTGATCGGCTCGTTAGCCGCATGGGAGATCAGTCACGTCTCTGTTATGCACTGTTGGCAAATATTGGGCATGCACTGCTCCAGTGTTGGTCAAGTCTGGTCTTGAAAGAGCTCACATTCGATGCCGTCACAACACTTTCTGGCAGATTTTTCCAGAAAGTGTTGTGATGGCACCCCTACTGTACAGTACTGTACTGGATATATATTTTTTACATGTGTATATTGTGTATTATTCATAAGGTATGTATAATATATAATTGGTGTATGATAATAATGGCAGAATTTCACATAAGTTTACAATTCCATGTTTAACAATTTTCTCAAAAGAGGGAGAGAGAACCAAAAAATTATTTAATTTTTATTTTCTCCTTGTAGGTTAATGAAGAACCCAGGATATGTGTTATTACTGCTGTCATACGGGATAAATGTGGGAGCCTTTTATGCTATCTCTACCCTCCTTAATCAGGTTATCCTCGCCCACTTCCCTGTGAGTATCTGTGTCCTTGCCACTGGTCGGTACTCTAGATTATTGTTGTGTTTTCATCTTCGCCACTGATTGGCTCGTTCTACTACAATCTGTGATGAGTTTTAGGTTTCTATATTTAGTAAGGAGTTGTTGATTGTTTATGTAAGTTAAATGTTTTTATTTTCCATACATAAATACCGTCTGTGTAAAATAAATTGTTTTGATGGAGAACGTACAACACTCCGGCAGAATGAGAATGAGAATGCTGGCCGAATTGGGTTGGTTATTGTCCTCGCCGGTATGATGGGTTCTGTTGTGTGTGGCTTTATCCTCGACAAAACTGCGAAATTCAAGTAAGTAGACATTACAGTATGGGATTTATTAGGTTAATATCTTGTTAAGTGATGAGCAAGATATTTATTTATAAGGTGGGGAGGTGAAATAAGCTGGGGTGCTTATGGTAATCTTCATGAGATTCTTTTTCTCACTTGGGAGGAGGGTATAGTCTAACCTGACAAAAAGAGGTTGGATTTGATGTAAGAATCAGTTCTGTGCCTCACATGGAGTTAGTGAGGTACAATTAACTAGTTTTATTGACTTATTTATTTTTTTCCCTTCACAACTTCAGTGTTTAAACAACAATCCCTTTATTAAATGACAAGTATTATCTGTTTATCACTATCTATTATTAATGATATACAGTATTCATGTTAAACTTTATATAGTACCTGCTTGTCTATATTGTATTTACTGTACTGTATGTTGAACCATTTCTAAATTCATATAACAATTTTACTGAATATATATCTACAGGATGGTGACGCTAGTGGTGTATATCTTATCCACATTGTTCATGCTGAGCTACACCTTCATATTCCACCTTGAGACACTGTGGTTGGTCTTTGTCATGGCTGGATTATTAGGGTGAGTTAATACTGAACTTTTAATGTACAGTATTGTATTATGCCATTATTGTGTTTACTGCCATATAAATTCTCTGCCTTTTATAAACTATCTTGCTTTGGTTATCTAATTCTTGGTACAGTATTTTCCAGCATTTACAAAGTTATTTTCTTCTCCACTTTTCACAGATCATTTTTGTATTCTTTAATTTTGCAACTCATTCTACTGTTTCCAAGTGTTCGAGTCTTTTTCCTTTCTCTTCCTCAACTTTTACTATGGAAACTTTCTACTGTCATGCAAAATGTGACCAATCTTCCTACGTTTGAGGAAATATGGTTTGACACAGCGCTGATGTGCATTTTGTTCTCAGCAGAGTGTATAATAAACAAATTGTAAAAGCTAAAGGTCTACAAAAGGCCTGGCCCTGAGAGCGTGCATCCCAGAGTGCTAAGAGAATTGTGCAATTAGCTTGCTTAGCCCCTTAAGATCCTGTTCTGTAGAAGCTTGGATGATCAAAAGGTCCCCAGTGACTGGAAAAGTACTTATGTGAGTCCTATATTCAACCACTCCATGAATAATATAGGCCAGTGAGCTTGTCTAGTATAGTGTGTAAAGTACTGTACTAGAGAGCATTATAAGAGACGCCACGATGGAACATCTACTACAAAACAACCTTGTAATGGACTGCTGACCTGGTTTTGTGTTGGGATGCTCCTGTTTGACACAGTTACTTAAGGTGCTGGATATATGGACTCATATCCTGGAATGCGGTGGCTTTTGATCACCTTTATAGAATCTACAAACAAGCTGGACAAGGACTTCAGACCTCCTTATGTCATATAAAACTGTCACTCTACAGGTTCTTCATGACTGGGTACCTGCCAGTGGGATTCGAGTTTGCTGCAGAGTTGACTTACCCCGAGGCTGAGGGCACAAGCTCTGGCCTGCTCAATGCATCAGCCCAGTTCTTTGGAATATTTTGTACCATGGCTGATGGTCAGCTTCTCAAAAAGTAAGTTCTTACACTTGGTTGGTAGTAAGTTGGGTAAGTTATGTGATGTCTGTAGCCAGTACATGTACTTCTTTATGTATTGAATACACATAAAACACTTTTGTGTGTTTATCTTTGTTTTGTATTCAGCATTCAGATTAATTCCACACTTAACATTGTACAGCCTTCCTCAGATGCAAAGATCATGATGCATCTCAGTCTTCCGCATTTACTGCACATATATTTTCTCAACATCTTCTATATGTTTGGTAGCCTTAAAGTCCCCACACATATCTTAACCCTTAAATGGTGGGCATCATCGGTAGAAGTTAACCGTAGGGATAACAGCCATTATCAGTGGATGTTTCATGATCCTTGCATTCCATTATTGTGGATATACTGTAGGGCTGGAGTATGGAATTCTTAGCTACTGGTTAACCACTTGTGCACGGCCTCCCCCTTGTGCTGAATAAATTTGCCAGGTGTTAGCCAAATCAAATATTAAAAGTGGCATCCCAATAGTGAAGTGGTTGAGGGTTAAATAGTGTACTCTTCTTTTATCAGTTGACCCATAGCCTGTACAGTACCCAATACAGTACCTCACTCTAGTTTCTCTTATTTTTATACATGTTGATTAAACTCTTATGAAAATCACTTGGACCCAGTGGGAAGAAAATGCACATTAAGCTTATATTGTAAATTGAGTTCCATTTCACCTGTGATCCTTTACTTCCTGAACAGTTATGGAGACATGGCAGCCAACTTGCTCCTGGTAGTGGTGCTTTGTGTGGGAAGCATCATGACTGCCTCTATTAGGGAGGATCTGCGGAGACAGGCTGCCCACAAGAAGGGCATTCACGTTGACAGTGAAGGACCAAGAGTCTGAACAAGTAAATGTGTCTTTCCTACTTTTACCGTCAACAGTCAAAATTTGATATGGGCTTTATCAATTTTTAGTTGATCCTATCCGGTGAATGGACAGAAAATAAAATAATGACAGTAGGTATTGTAGATAGATTGACAGATATTTATTCAGTAAAAGTCTTATGAATTCACATTGGTTCAGCATGTAAGTAAACAGTACCGCATAGACATGGCAAATGGTAAATTGATTAAATTTAGACAGCCACTGTAGGGCAGCTTATACATGGATTTATTTTTTCATGTGAACCATGAATGAGGATTTTATGACATGTCTCTAAATACTTAAAAAACAAAAAGGGTTAACATGAATTACAAAAGACATGGGGCAGCTACTTTTATAAAACCTAAACAAAACTTATGACTCAAAAAATTTATACTACTGTACTAGTGTCATGTATTTGTCATGCTACCTCCTGTGATGTTAACCAAGTACTGTACTGTACTGTGGTAATCTCAAGCCCAATGTGTAGTTTAATCTGTCCCTGTAATAATGTATTCATATATATCTGTACTCATACACTTTAATAGGTTCCCTGTACGTAATATATTCCAAAAGAACTTACAGTATAAGCCAGATTATTCCGTCATTACTGTTGTATTATCTTGAAATATTGTTCATAGAAGGATTAACTTGATGATTAGAGGCACATTATTTTTTATATGGCAAATTAGGCATCAGATGCTCATGTATATACAAGTATAGACACTCCATGCAGAACTATATATATATATATATATATGTATATATACAGTATATATACAGTGACCCCTCGGTTAACGAACTCAATCCGTTCCAGAAGGTCGTTCGTTAAAAATCAGGTAGTGGTTCCAGCTCACCGAAAATTTCTAAATTAAAAATGGTAGAAAAGTTCACTTACTTTGAGGTTGTATGTAGAAGGCTCCTGGATGATGATGATGATGGGATTTAGAATGGGGGTGGAGAGAAGGAAGAAGAAGGCATTGGCGTGGAAGAGAAGTCACCCCATGGCCATTTCACCCATAAATTTTAGCTCTCTTGGTGTAATTCAAGATTATTTTCTTTAAATCAACACTGCACTGCATTATATATTGTCAATATGTAAAAATATATTTCAAAATGACCAATAATTTGCTTGGAAACACAGAAAAAAAGCGTTTAGTTGAAGAGTCTCAAGCAAGATGTTACCCTCCAGTGAAAACAGAGAGAGACTAACACCTGTTTGCTGTTTAAGAGGCTGGATGCCGCGCATTAAACTAGTCACTTTACCTTCAATTAGTTCAATAATTGTTAAAATGACTAAAAATTGAATATTAAACTTTAAAATTATTGAATAGTATAAACTTCTTGATATTACTAAAATAGTAAGGAATTTAAGCCCTAGAACGATTAATGTATTGGTGGGCTGATACTAAAGCTGGTTTGCCGGTCAGTGCAAAGCGAATGTTAAGGTCGGTTCATAAGAATTTGTTAACTTGAATATGCAGATAATAACCACAAGGGAAAGAAGATGTGAATTACAGCGGCTGGAACTTCGTGTTTTCTTTTTTCCTTGTGGTTATCCTTTATCTATATATATATATATATATATATATACTCATTATAAAATCCATAAGTAGTATAAGTCAGAGGCAATTGATAACATAATTTGATTGTTTATATTTAGCATCAAAGTGATTTATTTATAGTTAAGAAGGTACAGGGTGAGTGGGAGATAATTGACACATTTTAAACATATGTAAAATTCTGCCATTATTATCATACACCTTACACAACATACAGTACTATTTTTAATCGTACACAACATACATCACACATAGTACACAACATACACACACCCACACACAAATATATATACAGTACAGTGGAAGTACGGTACACACATTATTTTACCGAGGCTGCTGCTGCGTGTTGTGTGTCATTTATTTCTCACCCGCCCTGTGTACTGAGCCTAATGCTGTCTTGTATTAACTGTAAAGGTGAGATACTGTACTGTACACCTGTCTGCCCTCTGATTCTTCTTCGGAGAGAGCTTGCCTACTATGGACTTCCAGTTTAACTAAAATGGTGATAAAAATGTGTGCATTATAACTACTTAAACTTTCTATGTACAGTAATGTGTTTTAGGCCATTACCACTTCCTCTACACAAGCTTTTTCCAAAATACAAAAGTAAACAATAGAAAATAGCTAAAATGTCGTAATTTAAATGTCTATTTTCTTAACTGAAAATACATTTCAGGTGTATAGCAATGTGTGTGGGGGAAAAAGTCACACATGGGCAGGGCCTAGGGTAGGTCCAGGATGGGTCAGGGCACTCATAGGTCTTGGGTGGGAGGGTTGGTAGGGATTTTAATATATGAGAATTATATACGCACAGTATATGCTAGGGTACATATATTTTGTTGGTTGTACAGTCAACCCTCGCTTTACGCGGTCCCACTTTACGCGTTTCCACGTTTACGCGGTACCCTGCCGAACACGGAATGCTCACTTTCCGCGGTGTGTGTACCCTTTTACGCGGAGAGCGACGCGAGCAGGGTGCGCACAAGGTCGCCCAGTCATCAAAACATTACCGAGTTCTTCACCCGCCACCCACCACAGCCGGCCCAAGTCAGTGATAGTGATAATGATAGTGAGGATATGGACTTATATGGACTTTGAGGGGTTTGACAAAGAGGCCCTGCAAGCCTCTGTGGTGGATAGTGATACAATTGATACAAGTGATACAGGTGAGGGCCAATAATCTGCCCTCTGCCTCGGAACCAACCCCCCATCCCCGTGTGCCCAGCCATCTTTTCTACTAATGTAAATGTTAGAAAGCCTAATATTATTGATATTTCTCTTAATTATTAATTGTGTGTGCATACCATCATAAAATAAGAAGTTATTTTTACTACAACGTAGGTATTGTGTCTGAAAAAGTGGAGTTTGGAGGTCGGCCCGGTCTCTATTTCAATTAATCCCATATGTTATGTTGTTCACTTTACGCGTTTCATACTTTACGCGGGCCGCCGTGGGTTCAATTGACCGCGTGAAGTGAGGGTTCACTGTACTATAATAATCAAACCGAGTGTAGCCGATGTTTTGAATACTATACTCGTGATTCTTAAGTACAGGCACTCTACTCAAATTTGAGAGAATACATTAATTAACAGTGATATATATACTGTATATATAAGTATATCAGGGAGGCTTGTGTCTCCAAGTGTCCTGCCAGATCCCGTGCTCTTCCGAGGCTTCTGAGAGAGAGGGGAGTAGGCAATGTATTAGGAATAGAAAATGAACCTGGAAGAGTAGAAAAGGGACCTGGAGGAGTAGTAGAGGGACCTGGAGGAGTAGTAGAGGGACCTGGAGGAGTTGTAAAGGGACCTGGAGGCATAGTAGAGGGACCTGGAGGCATAGTAGAGGGACCTGAAGGAGTAGTAGAGGGACCTGGAGGAATACTAGAGGGACCTGGAGCAGTAGATAGGTACCAGGCAGCTTAAGAGAGTTTCATCAGAACTTGATGAAAATGAAGAAGAAAAAGAGATGGTGAGTGAGAATGTGCTCACTGTTTAGGTTGTTAAGAAGTTTTAGAGAAGGTAGCTGGGGAGAAAAGATGCAGATTAAGAAAGTGATAAAGGGGGAGGAAGTGAGAAGAAAGAGAAGAGAGCAGATTTTATGTAAAATCCCGGTGAAGTATTAAGAAGAACATAGATGACTTATGCTGTACTGTACTGTAAGTAATAGTGACAATAATGTTCTCAGCTAAAATATGCCAGCACCCACCATACCTGAGACCAGTAGGTTTAACTTATGGGTAATTTTTCTTATCCAGGATGATTCCTTATCCAGTATTACAAAAATGGGTCGGAAATATTTTTGTCATTTAGTTAATAATGTCCCAAGATAATTATAGTCTATAATAATGAATACTTACCATTTTGAACCTTTGTATTCCATAGCTTGGGTGCTTCCTAGACAACAGTATGATGATTATATAATACTGCAATCTCTTGAGATGTGATTCTGCCACTCACATGTGCTGTTTCTGCACAGTTTTTTATAGTTTAGTCATACATTTTTTGTTTTAATGCCATCTTGTGTGGATTGCTCTGAGTAGGAATTCCTATGTAATATATATTGTGACAAAATTGTATTGTAAGTATTATTGATGTATGTACAGTATAATGCTGTGTGTGTTTTCATAAATTGTCATTTTGCAAATATTAATACTGTACTGTACTGTACTTGTTTCTTAGATTTCATGATCAAGTTTGTAGCAATGATGAGCTGGCTAAGAGAAGTATGGAGCTAAATATTATAACCATAAATATAACTTCTTAGTCTTTATTAAACTGGTTTCATGAAAAAAAAAAATATTCTCTTTAGTCTGGATCACCAACTAAGACAATACTTGATGTTTACAATGTACAGTATTAAGTTATGTGCAGCTCATTACAGGAGGCAAGAAGTGACCTTTTATGGTCTAGCCTCTACACTACTGTACCAGGTCTTAACAACAATCATTTGTTGCTTAATAAGAAATGTAATTGTTTTGATGGCTTATCCTTAGTTGAAGCTATACAGTAATACTCAAGTTCATCTAGCCATTATTTTTTTTCCAGAAAATAACTTTTTTCTTCATTTGCAGTGCATTACACTAAATGGGTATCCTAGCACAAGCTGCCACCTACATTCCCTCAAAATTTTATCTTGAACTTCTGTTGTGAAAACCTAAAGTTTGGTTAGGATACCTTAGGTTGTTGCTGGCATGTGATGCACCACATACACTCAGGCGGTGATATTCAAAATTTTATCCAGTGTATCATGGCAAGCATTAAAAATTTTGCAATAATCTATTGACATTTGATGTGTGACTACAATCTTAAAATACATAATTTTGTTTTGTGATACAGCTGTGTTCTTTTAGGATTGATGTGCAGGTGTTGACATGTCTACGAGTAAACTGTGTTTGGGTAGTACAGTATTGCCACAACACTGACAAATACATGTATTTCTTTTAAATTTGTGTGTGGATGTGTGACCCACCACAATGCATGATGTGGGGTTCTGCTGCAGCCACACCAAGTCCCTTGTGGTACCAACACGCGGTGAAGTTGAAAAGAACCTCTCAGGAAAAAAAATAGTATTTTGATAATTTTTATTTGTTAACTTATTAACCATAACAGGACCTTTTATAAGTTAATCATGTGTAGTTGATGGCTGATAGAGGCTATGGTTGTTGTGATAAACTTATAAGTTTTAATTTTGTGTTAAAATACTTACTGTAGCTGTTACAGTAAGACTGAAGTTATCAAGTAACAGTAAGATATTATTGTAATTGGGCTAGAGATGACATGAGTGGTTTTAGCTTTACTTAATCTCTAAATCAATATTGTATAGACAAAATTATATTTGTCCTCCAGTCACCTGTGTTTATTATAAGTTGGATAATATGTAAAGTTAATAAGTACAGTACAGTATTGTACATACTCTCACATTAACTTCTCCAAAGTTTATATAATATTTTGTGTAAAAGTGTACTGCATTAAGCTACCAGAGCATACAATCGTTAAATTCCTGTATAAAAAAATCCACATTTCATTATATGATATTAGGATATATGTGTACTAAACTGTACTGTACTGTATCTGTACTGTATATGTACTTGTATAATTAGACACATGCACCAGTCATTTTCCACATAAGTATGTGAATGTAAATAGACATTTATATAAATATATATGAACATACAATAGTCTTCATATACATACACACTCAAACTTAAATATATGTAAGAGACACATGTACACACATATAGATACTGTATATGTATGGTGATATATGTGGTGATATATAAATATATCAAGGACCAGTATTGTCTTCCATATGATAAACTGTTGGATGAGTAGTTCAGTATCTGCTTGTCTCTTTGTAGTGTTATGTAAGGTTACTGTGGCTGTCCCATAAAACATTCCATAAGGGGCTGTACATTGTCCTCTGTTGCAGGTACAACTTCTTGGCATGGGATAAAAGCATTTTGTGTGTTTGGTAACTTTGAATAATATTGTGTTTACTTGATATTTGCATTATAATTATATATGCTGACAACACCAGCATAAAGTATTTTATCAACAGTCATAAGCACGGATATGTTTAACATAATTGCCTTTTGCATGCTTTACATATATTTTGTTTGTTTAACAGTTAGTTCCATTGGACACTACCTGTATTTTTTAATTTTTAATGATTATGCATTTTATATTACAATTAAAATTTGTGTAACACTACACAAGTTCTGTGTATTGTAGGTGCAACTGTGACCATAATAGTCACAGTTGCACCTAAAGTACTTCTGTAGCTACACGTAAGAAAGGTTGTGCAACTTTAATTTTGGATATGTGTGCACAAATAGATAATTTCTTTTAAGGTGCTGTTGTTTCACTGTATGAAGGACAGCTGTATAGAGGTACAGGTATTTGTAAAGGTTGTGATAATATAACCTCAGTAATACAGTTTAAGCCTCTGAGGATGACGATGATTTAACACTATGGATGATGTCTTAACAAGCGACTAACGCGCCGATCAGATGCTGAGTCATACAGGTAGATTATCTCTTCCTTTGGTCATGACGGTACAATATTGTTTGGTCATTTAGTCATGAGGGTACAATATTGTTTGATTCTTTAGTCATGAGGGTACAATATTGTTTGGTCATTTAGTCATTAGGGTACAATATTGTTTGGTCATTTAGTCATGAGGGTACAATACTGTTTGATTCTTTAGTCATGAGGGGACAATATTGTTTGGTCCTTTAGTTACTGTACTTCAGCCTTTGAGTTATGAGAACAATATTAGCTGCACTTCAGTCACATACATAGTTGGTCTGAGACAATACGCCGTACAGGTTTCTTTCTACTTGACAGTAAATCTCTTGAACCATTCTTTTCATGATATTTTCCTCTGTACCTACTTAGTTTATATGGATTTATTCTGGGTGACGGCTCATTGACTCAATGTACAGCTCTTCTTTAGCTTCTCTGACACTAGTCGCTGCCTGTGTGTGCGTGTAAGGATGATTTTTGACAGTGATATCTTAAGAAAATTTGAATTACCATATTAGTTCTTACTGTAGTTGCATAATTACAACCTGATAGGAAAAAGCTGCATTGTAATTTTGTTGAAGGACCTTTCTTTTATTGTGTCATGTTGTTATAATAAAGTTTAAGTTGTCATATTTGTACAACTGTGGAACATATTTGTAGAGATTATAGTACAGTACTGTATATTGTATCATTCGTTGATTTTGCACTTATATTGTTAATTGTTTATATGTATTATTATTTTTTTTTTATACAGTATGTTCAGGAAGTTTATTGTTACTCTGTGTATAATAAATACAAGTTTCCATAATATTTATTCTACTTAATTCTACGTACCTTTTCCATGCATTTCCAAATCTTTCAATGTGTCTGTCCAAGAACATTTTTTTAAATCTCAACTGCTCATAGACAATTGTGATTACAGTAGACTTGCAACTTATGAGGGGGTTACGTTCCTGGGATTCTGCGTAAAGCCAAAAAACGTGTAAAGTCAGAAACACTACTAAAAATCCCCTAAATCGCTGTTAAATCACTATACAGTATATACGTACATGTACACGAGAACTCATAAATCCCAACAGTAATTTAATATACTGTAATCTGTATCAAGTGCATAACAGCGCTAATAGAACACAGACATTACCTGTATGTAGACAGACATGTGTTGTTGTTTTGAGATTGTTCATCCCCTTCCCACATCACCGTGGGGGATCGTCAAGTTCAGATAATGATGCAGGGGAGGATATGGGCAGCTATCCATTTTCCTTAATCAATTTCCTGAATTCTTCTGGAAACACCCGTGCAGCTGCCTCTTCCACCGTTGCCGATTCGCCAGTGAATCTAATATTTTTCAGGTTGAAATGCTTCCTGAAACTGTTGAGCCAACCTGCACTGGCCTTAAAACTTTTCTTAGAGCTGGTGGATGCCTTGGCCTCAGGAACCTCAGATTTAAACTGGTCATAAAGACTCGGTGCCTTCTCCCTGAGCATGTTGCCGTCGATGGGGACATGTTTCTGGTTCATATCCTCCACCCAGATGTTTAATGCCTTCTCCACCTTCACTAGAGGTATGTCACTAACCTGGCTAGTCACCTTAGCAGTAAATGAGGCACTTGTAGACACAGTTTCATGAATTTCCCTCTCCTGAATCTTGATTCGTTCTGCCTGACCTCGGTGCCACAGCAGCGATCGGCATGCTGCCTTTTATTAAGTCAACACTGCCACTTTTTCTTCCAGGGTCATCACAGAGTGCTGTTTCTTCACTGGAGGAATAGGGCCAGAGGTTGGCTTGTGTTTGGGCATTATGAACGAGTATGAGAGAGGTTTAAGTGCAGTAAATTGACACATGAGAAGCAACTGTTACTCCGACGATATACGATACACACGCGGCAACTGAGACAGACAGAGGTGGGATGGCGGGCTGGTGTTTTTAAAATATTAATAACTTAGGCGCTATAGGAGATAAAAACAGTCTGTAAAATGCATTGCAGTGATAATCCCAAGGGGCCTTTGGCCATTCTAGGGCCCCTGGCCATGGTAGTTCCATGGGTTCCTGGTCCTGGTAGTCCCATGGGCCCCCTGTCCATAGGTGGGGCCTTGATAGTCCCCTGGGGGCCATGGCAGTGCCCCTGGTAGTCCCATGGGGGGGCCCCTTGTAGTCCACTTGGGTCCCATGGTAATCCCATGGAACCCCTGGCCCTGGAATGGCCCCAAGGGTCCCCTGGTAGTTTTCTTTGCCCTGGGGGGATCCTTGGGGGCCCCCTGATTCTCCTGGCCATGGCAAAGCCCCAGGGGGCCTCGTGGTAGTCCCCTTGGACCCCGGTATGGTCTTTGGGGACCCCCTGGTAGCCCCATAGAACCCCTAGCCCTAGTAGTCTCTTGGGATCCCTGGCCCAGGCATGGCCCCTAGGACCCCTTGTTAGTTCTCTGGCTCCCCCTGGCCCTGGTAGTCCCATGGGGCATTTCTCCCTGGTAAAGCCCCCGGGAGCCCTTTTTGTCTTCCCCAGGGTCACTGGCCCTGGCAGTCCCATGGGGCCCTTGTCCATGGCAGGGCCCATGGGGGCTCCTGTAAGTCCTTTGCAGTCCCTGGCAGGGCCCCTGGTAGTCCTATGAATCCCTGGTAGGCCCCCTGGGGGCCCCTAGTAGTCCCATTCGTCCTGATAGCATCCCTGGGGGCCCCCTGATTCTCCTAGCGCTAGAAAAGCCTCTGGGGGGCCTCCTGGTAGTCCCCTGGGGCTCCGAATATGGTCTTTTGGGCTCCCTGGTAGTCCCATAGGCCCCTTGTTAGTTCTCTGGGCCTACCAAGGCCAGGGGACCCCAAGTGGCCCTACCAAGACCAGGGGACGACCAGGGTCAGGGGTTTCATGGGACTACCAGGGATCCCAAGGCTTCAAGGGACTACTGGCGCCCTACCAGGGCTAGCAGGCCTAGAGAACTAACAAGGGGCTGCCAGGGCCAGGGGCCTCACGGGACTACTAGGGCCAGGGGTTCTATAGGACCACCATGAGAACCCCAGCGTCCATACCAGAGCCAAGGGCCCCAGAGGAACTCCAGGAGGCCTCAAGGGGCCTTGCCAGGGCCAGGAGATTTTTTGCGGCCCCTAGGGACCCTACCACATTGGAGAATACAATGGATTGAACGACATGGTCTCTTTCACAACAATCTAAATGCGATGAATATACAGTGGTGGTGGTGGTCATCTGGTGGTAGTGGGGGTCATCTGGTGGTGGTGGTGGTGGTCATCTGGTGGGAGTGGTGGTCATCTGGTGGTGGTGGTGGTGGTCATCTGGTGGTAGTGGGGTCATCTGGTGGTGGTGGTGGTGGTGGTGGTCATCTGGTGGTAGTGGGGGTCATCTGGTGGTGGTGGTGGTGGTCATCTGGTGGGAGTGGTGGTCATCTGGTGGTGGTGGTCATCTGGTGGTAGTGGTGGTCATCTGGTGGTGGTGGTGGTCATCTGGTGGGAGTGGTGGTCATCTGGTGGTGGTGGTGGTCATCTGGTGGAGGGTGGTCATCTGGTGGTGGTGGTGGTGGTCATCTGGTGGTAGTGGGGGTCATCTGGTGGTGGTGGTGGTGGTGGTGGTCATCCTGAGGTGGTAGTGGTGGTCATCTGGTGGTGGTGGTGGTGGTCATCTGGTGGGAGTGGTGGTCATCTGGTGGTGGTGGTCATCTGGTGGTAGTGGTGGTCATCTGGTGGTGGTGGTGGTCATCTGGTGGGAGTGGTGGTCATCTGGTGGTGTGGTGGTGGTGGTGGTGGTCATCTCTGGTGGTAGTGTCATCTGGTGGTGGTGGTGGTGGTCATCTGGTGGAGTGGTGGTCATCTGGTGGTGTGGTCATCTGGTGGTGTGGTGGTCATCTGGTGGTGGTGGTGGTCATCTGGTGGTAGTGGGGGTCATCTGGTGGTGGTGGTGGTGGTGGTCATCTGGTGGTAGTGGGGTCATCTGGTGGTGGTGGTGGTGGTCATCTGGTGGTGGTGGTGGTCATCTGGTGGTAGTGGTGGTCATCTAGTGGTGGTGGTGTGGTCATCTGGTGGGTGGTGGTCATCTGGTGGCGGTGGTGGTAGGGTGTCATGGTGGTGGTATCATCTGGTAGTGGTGATGGTGGTGGTGGTGGTGGTCATCTGGTGGTAGTGGTGGTCATCTGGTGGTGGTGGTGGTCATCTGGTGGTAGTGGTGGTCATCTGGTGGTGTGGTGGTCATCTGGTGGTGGTGGTCATCTACAGGTGGTAGTGGTGGTCATCTGGTGTGGTAGTGGTGGTGGTCATCTGGTGGTGGTGGTGCCGCCCCCGAGAAGAACCCTGAAGGTGCCGCTGCCACTGGGAAGGGTGCTTGGTTCTCTAACGCCAGGGACAGCATCTGGGGTTTCCAAAACCCTTAGCAGGGCCCCTAAGGGTGACGCAAATTCCTAGGAAGGCCTCTAGGGTCGCCACCGCTTCTGGGAGGGCCATTGGGATCGCTGACACCCCTGGGAGGCCCCCTGAGGTCACCGACGTGTCTAAGAGGGTCCCTGGAGTCGCCGAAGATTTTGGGATGGCCCCTGGGAGCGCCGTATCTGGTAGAACAAATGGGAGGGCTCTAGGGAGTCCTGCCCTTGTAGGACGCTCGGGGCATGTGTTTTTGTATTATATAGAACAATGGGAGATATGACGTTAAATAAATACACCGCCCATCGTATTTCCAGTATAATATCACCAAGAAAAGTGTAAAGGAGAATAAATATCTAACAGGAAAACATAAGTTGGGGTGTTATGCTGACTGACTGTTCAGTTCTCCTATTGGCTGTAATTTGGTGACTATACATTTTAATCCACCAATCACAGATAAGTAAGGGATTGCTGGATGTATGTAATATGTACAACAACATGACCAAGCAAGCCATAGGGCTTGTGGGAGGGCGCGCCTCTAGTATTGCCACTGGGGGCACCGCTGCCTCTGGGAGAATCCCTGGGGTAACTGCCCCCTCTGCAAGGGCCCCATGGTTAGCCAACGCCCCTGTGAGGACCCCATGGGCTGCTGCTGCTCCTGGCGAGGGCCTCTGGGGGCACTGCCGCCCCCGAGAAGAACCCTGGGGGTGCCGCTGCCACTGGGAAGGGTCCTTGGTTCTCTAACGCCTGGGACAGCAACTGGAGTTTCCAAAACACTTAGTAGGGCCCCAAAGGGTGACGCCAACTCCTAGGAGGGCCTGTAGGGTCGTCATCGCCTCTGGGAGGGCCTTTGGGGTCGCGGACACCCCTGGGAGGCCCCCTGAGGTCACCGACGTGTCTAGGAGGGTCCCTGGTGTCGCGGAAGAATTTGGGATGGCCCCTGGGAGCGCCGTACCTGGTAGGACAAATGGGAGGGCTCCAGGGAGTTCTGCCCTTGTAGGCCTCTCCAGGGATTTGTTTTTAGATTTTTTAGAACAATGGGAGATATGACATTAAATAAATACACCGCCCATCGTATATCCAGTTTAATATCACCATTAAAAGTGTAGAGGAGAATAAATATCTAACAGGAAAACATAAGTTGGGGTGTTGTGCTGACTGACTGTTCTGTTCTCCTATTGGCTGTAATTTGGTGGATTTACGTTTTAGTCCACCAATCACAGTTAAGTAAGGGATTGCTGGACGTATGTAATATGGACAACAACATGACCAAGCAAGCTATAGGGCTTCTGGGAGGGCGCGCCCTAGTACGGCCCCTGGGGGCACCGGTGACTCTGGGAGAATCCCTGGGCTGACTGCCGCCTCTGCAAGGGCCCCAGGGATCACCGACGCCCCTGAGAGGACCCTATGGGGTGCTGCTGCTCCTGGCGAGGGCCTCTGGGTGTACTGCCGCCCCCGAGAAGAACCCTGGGGGTGCCACTGCCACTGGGAAGGGTCCTTGGTTCTCTAATGCCTGGGACAGCAGCTGGAGTTTCTAAAACCCTTAGCAGGGCCCCAAAGGGTGACGCCAACTCCTAGGAGGGCCTCTAGGGTCCTGCCCGCCTCTGGGAGGGCCTTTGGGGTCGCCAACACCCCTGGGAGGCCCCCTTAGGTCACCAACGTGTCTAGGAGGGTCCCTGGAGTCGCCGAATATTTTGGGATGGACCCTGGGAGCGATGTACCTGGTAGGACAAATGGGAGGGCTCCAGGGAGTCCTGCCCTTGTAGGCAGCTCGGGGCATTTGTTTTTGCATTATTTAGAACAATGGGAGATATGACGTTAAATAAATACACCACCCATCGTATTTCCAGTATAATCGCACCATGAAAAGTGTAAAGGAGAAAAAATATCTAACAGGAAAACATAAGTTGGGGTGTTGTGCTGACTGACTGTTCTGTTCTCCTATTGGCTGTAATTTGGTGAATATACATTTTAGTCCACCAATCACAGTTAAGTAAGGGATTGCTGGATGTATGTAATATGTACAACAACATGACCAAGCAAGCTATAGGGCTTCTGGGAGGGCGCGCCTCTAGAACGGCCCCTGGGGGCACAACTGCCTCTGGGAGAATCCGTTGGGTGACTGCCGCTTCTGCAAGGGCCCCATGGTTAGCCGACGCCCCTGAGAGGACCCCATGGGCTGCTGCTGCTCCTGGCGAGGGCCTCTGGGGTCAGTGCCGCCCCCGAGAAGAATCCTGGGGGTGCCGCTGCCACTGGGAAGGGTCCTTGGTTCCCTAACCCCTGGGACAGCAGCTGGAGTTTCCAAAACCCATAGCAGGGCCCCATAGGGTGACGCCAAATCCTTGGAGGGCCTGTAGGGTCGTCACCGCCTCTGGGAGGGTCTTTGGGGTCAATAACACCCCTGGGAGGCCCCCTGAGGTCACCGACGTGTCTAGGAGGGTCC